CAGGAAGGAACGACTCAAGTTTGAAATACCAGCTGGGAGAGCTTGAATTTACTCGCTGGTTGGTTACTGTCCTATTATATCAACAAATTCCCTTCCATGTATGGTCAGCCACGCCTGATTTTTCTACTTCCCAACGTTACATCTGGTGTTCTTGAAGCCTTGACCTTGAGGGGCGGCCTGTCTCTCCTTTATATTCTTTTCAACAGCTTTTTGGGATGCTCATACACACAGTCTTTTAGTCATGTTCCTCTCTATGGGGGTTTTACCGTGAGAGATATTGCAATGTTTGCTTTTGAAGGTTGTCCTGATGTTATATGGACTGCAGATCCTTTGTATTTTCTCAGACAACCCCTTCACATAAGGCAGGCAGACTGTTTTCTGAGTGTTGTTGTCCTCCTCCTCCTCCTCCTCCCTTGTACCCGCCTATCCCAGTTTTTGGGGCTGCTGCCATGTACCCAGGGTAGTTGTTACGTTGTAGGGTACTACTTATATTGACCAATTGTTTATCTAACGCCTCTGGATCGCCACTTATGACTTTTTGCTCGGTGTTGTAAGCAGCAGACAATCCTTTTCTTTACGCTGTATGGATGGTGGGAGTTGAAATTGAGGTACTGTCCGGTGAATGTTGGTTTACGGTATACGGATGTCTTGAACCCATTCTCTGTTCGAGATATTAGTACATCCAGGAATGGGGAGTGAGTTGTTACTCTCTTTCTCCATTGTGAACTGTATCGAAGGTCTTATTGAGTTCACATGGTCCAGAAGAACCTGGACTTTTTCCTGATGTGGCCAGAGTATGAAAGTGTCATCTACGTATCGTAACCATATAGTTGGCTTTAGAGATATAGACTCTAATGCCATTTCTTCAAAGTATTCCATGTATATATTCGCCATTGCTGGTGATAATGGCGAGCCCATTGCTAAGCCCTCATCCTGTCGATATATGTGAGATCCCATTCAAGTGTGTTGTTTGTGTACAGAAAGTCAACATCTCCATCAGATTATCTATTGGAATACTGGTCCATCCTTCTAGGGAAGAGTCAGAGGTTAATCTATCTCTGACTACTGAGAGTTACCTCCTCCGTGGGTACCTTGGTGAACAGACTCACCACGTCCAAGCTCACCATCTGGTTGGATAGGATGGGAGCATCTTTGATTATTTCCATGAAGTGGGCGGAGTTTCGGACATATGAAGGAGATTTTCCGATCAATGGGTCAATTATATCTACAAGGAAGCGACTCAGAGGGTGGCACACAGAGCCTTGGTAACTAACAATCAGCTTGAGTGGAATACTGTCTTTGTGAATCTTAGGGAGACCGATATGTGAGGTAACTTGCTGTAACGCTGCGATAACTGCCTATACGCCTTGGGTGCGAAGGATCCTTGTTCTTGATTAGGATCTGTGACAGTTTGCGTTCCGTTTTCATAGTAGGATCTTTCTTCACTATGCTGTAGCTACCATTGCTAATGAGGTCTTCCAGTTTTCTTGTAACAACTCACTCCCATTCCTGGATGTACTAATATCTCGAACAGAGAATGGGTTCAAGACATCCGATACCGTAAACCAACATTCACCGGACAGTACCTCAATTTCAACTCCCCACCATCCATACAGCGTAGAAAGAAAGGGATCGTCTGATGCTTACAACACCGAGCAAAAAAGTCATAAGTGGCGATCCAGAGACGTTAGATAAGGAATTGGTCAGTATAAGTAGTAAATTACAACGCAACAACTACCCTGGGTACATGGCAGCAGCCCCCAAAAAAAAACTGGGATAGGCGGGTACAAGAGGAGGAGGAGGAGGAGGAGGAGGAGGACAACAACACTCAGAAAAACAGTCTGCCTGCCTTATGTGAAGGGGTTGTCTGAGAAAATACAAAGGATCTGCGGTCCATATAACATCAGGACAACCTTCAAAAGCGGACAAACACTGCAGGTATCTCTCACGAGTGAGACCCCCACAGAGAGGAAACATGACTAAAGACTGTGTGTACACTATCCCATGCAGCTGCGGAAAGGAATATAAAGGAGAGACAGGCTGCCCTCAAGGTAAGGCTTCAAGAACACCAGAAAGCTGTAACGCGAGGGGAAGTAGAAAAAAATCAGGCGTGGCTGACCACATATGGAGAGAGAAGGGAGATCACCGCCCCTGTGGGATCATGTTGAGATCATAGACAGGGAACACCATTGGAAAAATTCGTAAACTTAAGGAATCAGCACATATGCTAGGCCACAAAAATCTCCTGAGCCGACCAAGCATAGAAATAAATACAATATGGGAACCAGTAATAAGGAGTGCCAGAGAAAAGCAATGATAACAAAGTTGCAATATGAACTCTGGTAAAGACATGCAATGATAACAGCAAAAATTGCAATATGAGCACTGGTAAAAATGATGCTGAAAACATTAGGTTTATAATACTCAGAAGTTCATACCCAGATGTCCTCAAGGACACATGGCACATAAAGGCGTTGGTTAGATCCAGTGACAGACCCAAAGAAGGTGAGTTCAATTCCTGGTTAAGGCAGTGGAGAACTTCCAGAGGGAAAATTAGCAGGAGATAACTGATAACTGACATCCATCAAACATGGCACGTGGAATTAGAACAGTCTACCCCAGTGATCAAAATAAAGGGTTCAGTTCGAAATTCCAACCACCTGAAGAAGGCCGGAGCGTACAACGGCCGAAACGTTGTGACAAATATGGCGACAAAGATGGGGACAATAGTCCGACTAATGTAAATACTGTACATAATACCTCATCTCAGAAATATAGACAAAATATGTAACTTTATTCCAAAAATAAGTACTTTTATTCAAAGTTTAAATACCTTTATTCAAAATATCAGTTTTAGTGTTCAGCTATTAAGCATCTCCAGTTGTTTACATATTTTTAAAAAATTTAATTATCACCTATCATGTAATTTATGAGTTATTACTGATTAAACTAAACATTGACTTTATGAGGTGTGTCTGAAAAGTTCTTGGCCTCACTAAGAAGTACTTCAAAAACATTTCTGATGTTTGGTATCATTTTGGGTTGTTGGTCGTGTCAGAACTTTTCAGCATTCCTTCATATAATGGTTCAGTTTTTGGTTATAATTAATGAAAATCTGTCTTTCTTGTTTATTTTTAAAAGAAATATTTTAGACTTTTTTCTTTCTAAAAAGAACAAGAAAAAACTTAAGAAAAATTATTTTTATAATTTTATTGTTTGAAATTTTCAAAATTTACCAGGGAAGAGTTTTCAATATCAAAAACAGATTTGTCATTTTTGTTTAGCAGTATATCAACCTGTATGGGTTATTTAATGCCAAAATCTGAATATTTTGTATTTTTCTATTTTTTTTTTTTTTTTGTTTGAGAAAATAATGGTTTTAATGATACAAATCTTACTAATTAATCAATAGCTGGCGGGAGAAGAGGTGGATTGAAATCTTTCCCAAGGATAGTTGCACATAAGTGAATTTAACAAATCCAACTGAAATTGGAACTCTTGGATTAACAATTCTGAGCCATTATCCATTACACCACCCACACATCCAAACTTACAGCACCTATTTCCAAGCAGTCACCCATTTAGGTACTTGACTAGGCTCGACATTGCTTATCTTCAGTGATCATATGAGAATCAGTATTTCAATGTGATGTGGCTGTAAGCCACAAAAACACATTTTTAGATATGGACAATGTGGACATAGAAATCAGTAGTTTATTGTGACTGGCAGTTTCACACTTTAAGTGATCTTCAAACCACTGTCAAAAAATTTCTTTATAAAAATCTTTTTAAAATATAGTGTTGATTTCTTGGACATATTAGTTTGCATCCTATTTTTCTGCTTTTGTTTATCAACTTTATTCTTCAAAAAATAAAGTGTAGCTACATATCTTATTCAACTATATATTCACTATTATTTGCAATGACTTGTTGCCACTTATAAGGCAGTTTTGTTGTGGGTGGTATATTGACCCACAAATATTGAATGATGCAAGACAACACTAAACAAAATGAAGACTTGAGTAAAAAAATGTATTGCAAGTTTATTTTTGTTAAAGAAAAATACATTGACAAAAATAAGGTTACGGTGCACTAGACAAAAATATATCTGCATGTTCATGTAGAGGGTGAGAAGAGCATTGAAGAGAGTTGTCCTGAAAAGGACAGTCTTGTAGTTGTTGAAAAGTGTTGTCCTGAAAAGACAGTTTATTGCATATTATTGCTGTGGGCAATGTTGGCTGGCTGGGGCAGCAGCCAATGGTGAGCTGGAGCTGATGATGATGGCTGGCTGGAACTGTGGGCTGGCTGTTTGCTGCTGAAACAGTTACTATGCTTTGATCATAGTCATCTTGGCCACAAACTGTTGTTTTTTGTCAATTTTTGAGGCTATTTTATATGTAAATCAGTTTTACTACAGTCACTGGTCCTGGAAGGTGGAGTTTCTCCTTCAAATTTTTGATTTTTTAAATGTTGGAGTGCTGACAGGATTCTTGAACCGGGTTTTCACTAGAGAATGTCTTCTCCATGAAAGTGTTTTGTAGCAATTGTAAAAAGTAATAATCAGTTTGTGCAGGATTCCTGACTTTATCTGTCTTGTCTAACATATGGTAAATTGTGATGTGTTTAACATCTTTTTTTACTTCTGAGTACTCTGCTATGGATATCTTCCTACTGATGACTTGTATAGCATAGTAGATATTGGCTTGGAAAGTGGGATTTGGCATACTGAGTTCAAATTCCAGCTGAGGCATCTACACTCACTTTCACACAAAAGAAAGGCATGAATCCATCTCTTCCTTCAGATTGAAATATTAGATATGGTTAAATTTTTCAAATATATGAAGTAATTCTTAATAAAACCTGTTTATCCAAATAGTTATAACAACATTAACTCTATTAAGATGGTGATCTTGACTTAACTCTATTAAAAGATGGCTATGAAAACTTAATTATTGAATCAGTTGCTGAAATAAATCAACCATTTTTTTTCTTTTTTGTAGATTGTAAAGGGAAACTGTGCTTTAACAATGGCAAAATTGACCCAAATGAATGCACATGCAAGTGTGTAAAAAGCTACACTGGAGAAAATTGTGAACATCGTACGTGAAATTTGTTGAAATCTTTTAGAATTTATTGTAAATAATGTCTTTAAATGTTAAGATATTTTAGCAATTTGTGTGTGTGTACAAAATTATCATTAGCCACTTAGAACCAGTTGAATCTTCTTTTATGGGCCGTGTCCCTTCAGGACGTGGGCAATCATGGCTCTCTCCAGTTTCCTGTCCTTTGTAGCTCTTAATTTCAATTTGTCCTGTGAGTATCAAATTTTTTAAGTCCTCTTTTCTTGTTATATGCCCTAGAAATTTGGCTGTCTCAGAGAAAGACAATTATATATATCCTTTTTGTTTCCATTTTCTCTGAAATCTTGGAATATGTTCAGTCCATGGTATTCTCAGCATCCTTCTGTAGAACCAAGAAATGTTTCGTTTTAGTATAACTGACAAAATATCTTGCAATTATCTTTTTTTTAATTTTTGCATTGTGGATGTCTCACAAGAAGTTTCTTTGCCCTGAAGTAACTGATAAGGTATTTTGCCAAAAATCCTTATGACCTGTCATAGCTGATGAAATATCAATTTGATGTTATACACTGATATTTATAGTATATATATATATATATATATATATATATATAAATCTCAGAAGAAAAAAATGATATTTTTCACTAAAAAAAATAAAATCACCTGAGGTAAAGAGAAAAAGTATTTCAGTCCAACATGGTTAATATAATGTGGCAGTACAAGATTTAAATTTGTTTTGCAACACCTATGTTGACCTTGTTGGAAACAAGTCCGACAAGTCATGGGAACTTCTTCCGCTACCATGTAGTAAAACATCATTTCATGAGAAGCCAAAGTTAAAAACTGTTTATTTTTGTTTTTTTTTAAATAACACCATTCTTTTTAAGGAATAAAACCTGACATCCACAAAAGATGTGATTGAATAAAGAAAGATATATTGCTCAAATAAATATGAATATATCTTGGAAATCTGACCAATATCAGTTGGTTAATAACATTTTTATTGCGAAAACGGACTTACATTATAAAATCTGACATAATGTAATAATTCTAGGGTGGATCAGTTTATTAATTAATAACAATAGAAAACCAATCCTAGACTTTATGTCCAGTAGAAATCTCTGTTAATATTTAACATAAATATATCTTGAACATTTCCCACCATCAGTTGATCTATATCAATTTTACTGTGAAAACATTAATTTACATAATAAAATCTGATATGATGCAATAATTTGGGGGGATCAGTTTATTACTTAATAACAACAGAAAACTGATCCCCACTTTATGTCCAGTAGACACTTCTATTAATATTTGACATAAATATATCTTGAACATTTTCTTGCCATCAGTTGTTAATACCAATTTTATTGTGAAAACATTGACTTGCATAATAAAATCTGATATAATGCAATAATTAAGTGGGGGACATAGTATAAAATCCAGAATGGTGGCAATATTGGTGTGGTATTTATCGGTCAATCTTTAAGTTATATATTCAAAGTCATGGAAGAAATATCTTAACTTTACATATCTGTTTGTTCTAGCATGAGATAAAACCAAAAAAGCAATCAAATAAGCATAAAAAAAATGGCATTATCTTTTATATAATAAAATAATGAGGCTCTGAAATCAGGTAATGCTGGCATCTGTATATACCTGGCATCCTCACACTGATCAATTCTGTAATATGTCAGTGAAAGCAGGACAATCTCATCGAAGATGAAGAATAGATTTGAGGCAACAGAATATGGTTCTACAGAAAGATGCTGAGAATACCATGGATGGAACATATGAGCAATGACAAACTTTTAGAAATAAATAGAAACAAAAATAACACTTATACTTAGCATTAGAAAGAGAGAGGTGAAATTTCTAGGGCACATAATGAAGAAAGAGGGCTTAGAAAATTTGACACTTACAGGACATATTGAAGGCAAGAGGAAAGCAGCTTATAACCTGCCTAAAGAGCTTGTGTAAATGGTTGGAAGAACAGGGATTAGGAGAGAAAGTAAAAAGGTAAACTTTACTAAGAGCTACAGAGGATGGAAAATGGTGTAGATCCATGATCACACACATCTTGAAGGGATATGTCATAATTAGATGAAGAAGTTGAGGAAAGCAATTAGAAAGAATTACATATTAATTGTAAAGAGACAGAATGTATGGTTGTTTGCAAAAGGGACAATGCAAAGTGTTTATTATTCATCAGAGTTGTTAAAATTAAGTAGGTTTAGAAATTCATTTATCTGGGTAGTATCATAAGAAATGATAGAAAGTGTGACACAGAAATACAAAGATACAAAGGAATAGTGAAATGATTTTCAAAAATTGAATAACGAAAGAAGAATAACATTAGAAATGAAAAAAAGAGAAATGGACTACAATATCTATATTTTGGTATCTATGCTGATGATATAACTATTTGCTTCTGTCTTAATGGTTAATCTGATCAGTTTAATAAGATCAAATTGACAGCAGATCTCAAAAATTACCTGCAATTTGTTAAGTAAGGCAAGAAATGACTTATTAATTTTATTGCCTCCAAAATGAAACTGATCTCTTTTAAATGTCTTAGAGAACTTTTACTGAAAGCTACAAAGGACAGGAAATTGTGGGGTGCCCTAATTGCCCAAATCCTGAAGGGAAGGACATTGTACATAAAAGAAGAAGAATGGAGAACTAATATAACCTATCACTATTGTGGATATTACTAATGTTCTAGGGATTAGTGATAATATTGTTGCTATGTAGATAATATTGTTGCTATGTAGATAAAATTAATCAAGTTTGTACTTGAACATTTATTCTCAAATGTCCTTTGAATTTGTTTCAGATATCTTTCTTCTGGTTTTGAATTGAGAGTGACATTTATAATTTCTTTTATTTCAGTTAACTGTCCCAAAAAAGATATGTTTATGTGCCAAAACCACTGGCCTGTTTCATTCTGTAAAATGTATGCTAATGTACCTGCCTTATGTCCTCATATGTGTGGAAGATGCACTTAAAACATTCAATATTTTCTACAATCTTATAAAGATTCAATGAAACTAATAAAAGTTTCACCTCATAATCCAATGTTTCAAAAAATGTTAAATATTCTTTAAAGTTTTTTTTTTTAATTCATTTTTAAAAAATTATTCAAGGCCTGTCTTACTTTCATTAAAAAAATTAAAATAAATTTTAAAATCATTCAAGGTTTGTATTTTCTCTTAATGAATTCTTTTTTAATTATTGAAGATTTATCTTTTCCATTGTTAAATAAAAACAAATAAATTTAAAAAAATTTTTTCAAGTTCTATCTTTTTTTATTATTTTAAGAATAAATAATTCTTCAAAATTATTCAAGTTTTGTCTTTTTTTATTGAACTTTTTCGAACAGGAGTGGTTTATCCCTTGTCTCCTGTTTAGGATTGGGTTTCTGGTTCCTTCTAAAGTCTGCTTCAAGTCTATACTTTTAACTTCTCCACCTAAACTCTGAAATTTTATTTACTATTTATATTTTTTTCCTCAATTGAAGTAGATAAGTTTGCCTTTCATCTGGTTCACACTCCTCCGGGGTCTTTTTAACAGGAGTAAAGGTTTATCCCTTATTTCCTGTTTAGGATTGAGTTTCTTTTTTTTTAAAGTCTTCCTATTCTCTTTCACTCCTAGTAGCCCCTTGCATCTTAGTGGCATTATCACCTTGCTTGGGGTGAACCGATTTAAAAAAAAAAAAAAATCATTCAAAGATTGTCTTTTCTTTTCTTAATAAAAGAAAAACAAACTTTGAATGATATTTTTTTAATCAGTTCACCACAAGCAAGGTGATAATGCCATTAAGATGTGTACGGGGCTACTGAGTGTGAAAGTGAATGAGAAAACAAATAAGTTTTTAATAATCATTCAATATTTGTCATTTTCTATAATGAAGTTTTGAAAATTATTCAAGATGTATCTTTTATTAAAGAGCAAATAAAATTTTAAAATCATTCAAAGTTTGCCTTTTTTCCTTATTAAAAATACAAAAAGGTTTTCAAATCATCTGACTTGTCATTTCTTGTGTTAAAAAAGAACCAACCTATTTTTTCTAAATATTCAATGATTTTCTTTTATTAAAAAAAACAAAAAAACAATTATTTTTAAAAATCATTCAAAGTTTGTATTTAAATTCAAGTTTTCTCTTTTATAAACAAAAAATTTTTGAAGGTCATTCAAGGTTTGATTTGTTAAACAGAAAATCAAAAAAAAAAAAACAAATGATTCAAAGTTTTTCTTTTTTTATAAAAAAATTAATTTAAAATTTGTCTTTTTTTATGAAAAATAAAACAATTATTTCTAAGGCATTAAAACATTAATTCATAGAACTTATAAAATGTGTCAAATCAAATATTACCATATTTACTAACATTCAAGAGTTATAATCTAACTAGATGTTTATGTAAGCCATGATCTCTCACGTAGACTTTATTAAAAAACTACATCAAAACCTAGCTTTGAAATTAACATAACAGCTAAAACTAGCACTAAACATATGATTGAAATATACCAAATAGCTAACATATGCTCTCAAAAAAAATTTTGAAATATTACCAATAGTTAACACTAGATCTAAAACTAAGCATAAAATATACTCAATACCAGAGCCTACCACTAAACCTAGGTTTGAAATACATTAATAAATAACCTTATTTGGAGACTAATTTCGAAATATTGCTAATAGCAAATACTTTAAAATACATTAATAAGTAACCTATTATTATTTTAGATCATTGGGACACAGTCTTTTATACACTCACTGAAAATAAAAATACCAAAATTACATAGTGTAAAGAAGGTGAGTGGATATGGTCCTTCAAGGAAAATACATTAGTAAGGAAGTGTGCTTTTCTTAAAGTGGAAAGTAGAGCTATGCTGAACTATGATGCTCTTCGTTGTCAAAGGATATTGGTATGTTTGGGTAAAATTAGTTACCATTATGTTGTGATGTGTATACATGTTTTGTCAAAGACAACTGACAAGGTACTGTGATTAAGCTTTTTA